ACACAGAGAAACCCTGTTTCAAAAAACCAACAACAAAAAAATCCTTCCTTATCCATTTTTCACACAACAGATCTGAACATTACTTTAAATTGTGCCTTTTCTGAAGTTTTCCAGATGACCAACCCTATATTAAACTGCTCCCACTTCTAAACACAGCCTAGATTCTCATACATAGGATAACTGAAACATTTTTCCTTTTTACCCATAGGCTGGCTTGAGCTCTCAATCCTCCAGCCTCAGCCTCATGAGAAGCGGGGTGAGATTACAGATGTGTGCCACCATGCCCAGCTGGATTACCTGAACCTTAACCCCAATACGGTGCAAATATTTTTCCTATACTTCCTTGTATTTTTTAATTTTTTTAAAATTAGTATACACAGTATTCCATTTCATTATGGCATTTTCAAACAAAATTTGTCTTTGTAACTCAAACATGTCTTCTCTAATTTACGGAAGTGAAATATCATGATTAAGATAAATTTCACTTCCAATTTCCTGCTGGGTAATATTTCCCACAAGAATTACTATCTTTGAACTCAATTTTCCTAATAAATTCAAAATTCACCTTACTCTCTTAACTAACTGAACCCACTGATCTACCTGAGCCTCCACCTACTTCACTAGAAAAAGCAAGGCTCACACACTGCTTTATTGAGACATCTGGATTGTTAAACGTGGTTCCTGAAAGTCTGTGACTCCAAAGGAAACAACAGACAAGATCATAAAGTAGTAACATTTCACTCTTCAAAACCCATAAACCTGTCACACATTATTAGTCAGACCCATTTTTTATTATTCAAAGCTAACAAGAAAATAGAATCCACCATGCTAAATAGTTAGCCCCCCCCCCCCCACCGTATAACCCTTTGATAACCAAACAGAAGAACTTTAGACAATGTAGCTCTTCTTTCAGATAGAAAACTGACCTCAGACACTCTACTCTCTCAATACATTGCACTGGAATATTCTGATATCATGACCTATCTAAGCAGAGAGAAACATTTGAAACAAACGAATGAACAAGCTTCCTGAAAGTTTCTCTGGGATATCCTCAACTGAAACTCACTTGTTTCAACTTCCAAATTTCAAAAGTTGTAGCCACATAATCTGCTATGCTCTTGAAGAGATCTTCATTTTGGTACCGGAGGTCTCTACAGGACTGCAGTATGCCGATCAATACTTTAAAAGGACACCCGTGGATATTATCTTTAAGAATGAGTTAAATACACAAGCATTACCAGATGGTTTTGAACATACGATTCAAGATACTCAATACCTTCTTTGGGATAAAAACAACACTGCATTTAGAAGGAAAACAAGACTATAGCCAAAAATAAAATTTATATGTAACCAATCGTCAGTTCTGCATCATAAGAGCCAAGACTTCAAAACATGTAACGGGACAGATATGGCAGATCACATAGAAAAAGCCCCCTTACCTATGACCGCCTTACTGCATTCATTCAGAAGGACAACAGAGCGGTGATCCATGGCAGCTAGTACTTCAAACATGTGCTGGGTATTCAAGACAGAAAATCTGTCCAACTCCTTCAAGGCTTTCATCTACAGAAAAACAAACTTGCATTCAATTATTATCTGTGGAAAATGTAATGCCAAAGAAACAGCTTGAGGCTTAAGAAAGGTGATAGACAAATACAGAAGTAGATATACATATATACACAGGTATGTTTGCACACACAGATGGATGTCTTAATTCATTTCAGCAAAGCTAAACCCAAAAGCAAAGCCATGTCCTCCTTCAAAACTAACTTTAGGCAGTGACAGGTCAAAGGACAGTTTTTTCAAATTTCATCCACTAGAGAAAAGCCAGGTGTTTACCTCCAATTTCTTCTTAAGAGCAAATGGTGTGTCTTTCCCGATACATTTCATCACTGTTTGTAATGTGAAGATATGTTCTATCTTCCAAACTTGCTGATCAACTAGGATTCTGCTATTAGACACAAGAAATGGGATAATCCTAGAATCCATACCAGAAACCTGAATATTTCATTTGATCCAGCCCCTACTTGGAATAGGCCAGGAATATGAAATCCACAGATGTGGTCTACCTGCCCAAGAGGGTGTAAGCAGTTAGAGAAGGATCTAAATCATTCAAGGATATGTCCTCTTACATTACTGTACTGTCTTTATTAATGATCAAATTGCATCAGACTGAAGGTATCCTTATAACCTTCCCTACCTAATCTGTGACATCAGACCGGTTGTACAATTTTATATTGTTTTAAGATAAACCAGTGTAACGTAATCCCTACAGTACCCGAGTAACTATTCTGAATTGAGTATACATGTCCGTTTTCCCCCAACTTTACATCAGTACTAGAGTCTAAGAAAAACTAATTTCAATATTACCTACATCTTTTTATAAAGAGATCCTTTACAAAGTACTATCTTCGGTTTTACATCATCCGGAATTGGGATTTTAAGTTTAATAAAGTATTAACTACTACCAATGCCTTCCTTACCAGTGCCTCCCAAAAAAGGAATTCAATTTTTGTCAGGCTTTTTAATTCCCCATATAAGGGCCACAGAGAAAACCATGTGAAGAAAGCTAGAGGCTCTTACCGCAGCCCTGCTCGAAGTGCATTCACATTCATGCAGGGCTCCAACGTCTCTAAAACAGCTGACAAAATTGAAAGACACCTCTCGTCACACTCATTGATGCGCTCCTGTTAAAATACAATTGCAAATACACCAAGGGTGATGAGAAGTGTCCCAGCTTCCCCAAGCCAAACCTCTGAACTCATACTTTCAAAGGCCTAAGTACCAGACCAGGAATTCACAAAGTTCACAATACACACCTCTTCGGGAAATAAGATGTGACAATTCAGGGACTTTTCCAAATAACCGACACACAACCTTCTTCATTCCCACTTAACCCTAGAGAAGGTAAGTGGGGCGGGATTTCAGATTTCCAAATCAAAAGAAATGATCTAACTTAAGGCCTCCTAGACATACAATATATAACGCAGAAATGCACAAAAATTATATTCCACTGACGGTCTCTTTTAAGGAAGCTATACACGTCTCCTTTCCCTGGCTCCTTCGCAGTACGTTAAACACAGTAAAGCCACACTTGAGTCTCCTTTTGACTTACCTGAATCGTCCTCAGCAGGGTCTGGACCATAAGAGTGTTCTGAGGGACGCCAAGCTTCATTATCGCATTAAGACTGAACAGAAGGTGGTCATAGTGCATAATCTTGGCTTCTCTCATCAGCTGCTCACACAGCAGGCTAAAGGCCGGGTGGCTAAACATCAGCTGTATTTCAAAGCGCCGCTTGTCCTCAGATACCCTTTTGGCAATTGTCCACATCGCTAAGAAATAGCTACTGCCAGGGAACGTAGGTGCTTTTGAAAATGTATCCAGCACATCACTCAAAGAGTTACACTCCTGGGCCAGCTTTTTATGATTCACAGGGGTTGGTCTCGTTTTCCTGGTGAGCACATCTGCACTGGAGGTAGGATGGAAGTTTACTTTCATTAAATCACGATCAGATGTCCCATCAGAGACAAGAGAATGTTCTGAATCAGAGGAAAATCTTCTAGGACAAAGTACTCTGTCACGTTTAAAGACAGCTGCACGGCTTATGCCTTTAGTTTGAGTACAACCATCTACCGATTTTGAAATACCCTGAAAGAGGTATCTGACAGACGGTTGCAGGCCCTCATCAAAACCAGTTAGCAGACCGTTTCTTGGGTTCCATTGTGAATGAACAACTTCTGGTCTGCCAAATCCCAGAGGATAGATCCTCAAAACTCTGCTTCTTGGAAGCGAAGTACTCAGTTGTCTGATGTTCCATAACAAGGAATGTGCTTTGTTATTCATTTTGCTATCCGCTGGCACACTTTCAAATACTCAAGATGCAACAAAACTTAACTTCTTCCTAAAAGAGAGCACGTGCTGTGGACAATCCTGTAGGGGATAGGTGGATGAAAGAAAAAACAGTTAAAATTGTTGATTAAATAAGGGAAACGCATCTAACAGGAGCTTGCATGGGTACCTATGAGCCACTAGAGGTTCCTATTAAAATGGTAAAACTATATCCCAATATGTTTATATCCCATTATGTTTCTTCCACTTTTACTCCAATGTGAACATCGTTATAAAGTACCCAGCCCAGTCACTTTAGCAGTTGTGGTAGAAAGTGATGATGATGATGATGATGATGATGATGATGATGATGATTTCCCATGTAGGTGTTCAATAAATCTTCCTCTGCTAAGGGCAATTTTGTTAACACTACTTTGGAGGCCTCCATTGAAAACAGTATCATCGGTGGACACTTTCAACCAAATGATCTAGCAATGGCCAAAACTAAACCGTTAAGAAAACGCACTTGGAGGTAGGGAAGAAAGAAAAAAAAAATGAAAACAGCCAGGGTGGTGATGGCTCACCCCTTTAATCCCAGCGCTGGGGAGGCAGAGGCCGGCGGATCTCTGTGAGTTCGAGGCCAGCCTGGTCCGCAGAGTGAGTTCCAGGACAGCCGGGTTTCCACACAAAGAAACCCTGTCTCGAAAAAAAAAAACAAAACAAACTAAATGAAAACAATGTTCTCCGTGCTTAAGAAGCTCCAATCAGCCAGCCTCATCAAGTCCCCGAAACCGGAGCCAGCGGCTTTCCTCAACTGGGCCACCCAGCATCAACACACCACCCTAAACTTAAGACCGAAGACACTCCTCAAACGTTTCTCCACCCGATAAAAGGACTACTCACGATACCGCCCACGATTCCGCTTGTGCTCGCCACCCGCTCACCTTAGGACAGAGCCCCGTGGCCGCACACAGGCGCAGCCATGACACTTCCGCCCAAAGCGGCGCGGCCGGTGACATTCTACGGATTCCTGTACAGGTCAAAAAGCCTAGGTTCGCGGCGGCCGTAGGCGGCCACGCGTAAAGGAGGGGAAACTGTCAGAAAAAATAGTTTCTCTTCTCGGAGGAAGAGACAGAGTCGAAGGCCGTAGGAGACCACGGAGCTTATAAAGATAATGGGTGGTTGTTCCCATACACTCAACACATTCAAGAAGTAACTTTGAACTTCTTGCCTCTGGCGGTGCGGCAGCTTCTGAGAGCGCCTGCGCCACTCTTACAGCGCCGCACGGTTGCCAGGAAACCGCGACGCCGTGGTCCCAGTCTCTAGGCCTTGCTAGAGATCATGGCCAAATTCGTGATCGCGGGTGAGTTCTTCTCCAGGGAGCCCCCAGAGCGTTTCCCGTGGCCGTTAGTCAGCCTTATTAACGGGCTTCTATTCTGCAGCCCCATCCTCAGACAGATCATCTCAGGCTTTCTAGATATTCGTTCCAGCATGCGTGTTAGACAGTGGCGGTGTGCCAAACTCTGATGAGCACCGGGGACACAGTGGGGAAATTTTTCATCTCTGCCCTTGGCGAGTTTTAATTCCCTCAGGGGTACAAAACATATAAAGAATTACTTTGATCTGCTAGGGTTAATGTAATGAGAGAGAGAGAGGTGCACAGGCCTCTGGGCGAATAGATGCCAAACGTGGGGATGTGGGATAGAAAAGAGATGGACACAAGAAACTAAGTAGAGAAACTGTTAAAGGAACCATCCCAGATAAAGGCAAAGGCTAGAAGAGCTGTAGTCTAACAGAGGAACTGGATGTGGGATCATGGTGGGACCTGGGGTTAGACTTACAAAATAGAAACTGGACTCTTGTATCTTACAAACACCTAGGGAAAAAAAGGTTTGAACTAAATCTTGAACACAATGAAGAATCATTGAAAGAATTTAAACAAAAATAGTGACAATGGGTTTGCATTTTTAAAAGGTCATCTCGGCAGCTAGAGGCAACAACCCACTTACTGCATGTCTGCTTGCTCCCTTCTCACTGCTGTTCTGTCTCTAGCCCTTCAATCCACCCCCTCTGGCTTCTACTTTTGCCTCCATAGGCAAACTGGTTTTACCACCATCACCAACGATCTCTTAGGTAAGCTGTTCAGTCTTTGTCTTAGTTTGTCACCAGAGAAGACTGCTCCGACTTGGGTTCAAGCCAACAGAAAGTCTTTTATTAGCTGACCGGCAACTACACCAGGTGTTCCGGATCCCAGGGTAGCCCTGAGCCTTTCTTGGGGTGACCTTTTAAGCACAAAAACCATGTTCTGGGTTGACACACTTCAGTGAACAAGAACAGTTAGCCAGAAGCAGAACTACAGAAGCCAAGAAGCAAGATTAGTACATTTTGAGACTTTCCCAGAACTATGTGGACTTTGATGGATTGGGCCTTTGCTTTAGTTTTGGCAGGTGGTGTTGTCTACTTGCTGAGTTTTACAGCCTTAATGGTCCATCACAGAATTAGTTGTGCTAAGGTCTGGGACCCTGTTCCAAGTTGACTTCTTGGATACACTGAACACAATTGGCATCTACCATCTCTTTGGAAGTACTTCTTTTGCTTCACTACTCATTCAGATAAATATTTTTAGCACTAGAAAACTGGATGGTGGGAATACAATAGACAAGTTTCAGGGCATGTTGGATGTAACAGTAACAGTGTTCTAGAAGGAAAGGTGGCAGAGGGCCTCACTAGGCAAGGGCTTGCAGAGGGAGAGGTGGTTAAGCAGATACCAGAACAATAAGAGTTAGAAAGCAGAGAAGATGCAGGAATAAACAGAACAATCTAGGTCTGGATAACAGGGAGCAGAGCTAGAGTGTGTGACTATTACAAAGACGATGTATGGTTGTATATGGAAACCCAACGCATTCAGGCACTAACTTGGAACCCTAGCTTTTCTGAGTGTAACAAGTCTTTCTCTGTCCCATCAGCACACCCAACCCCGCAAAATGACACAGAGACTTATTATGAATTAAGCTTGTTTCCAACTAGCTCGTATAACTTAAATTAAGCCATATATTTTAATCTACGTTCTTCCACACACTTGGTACCTCATCTCCATCATTCCCATCCTGCTTCTCCTGCATCTGGCTCACAACTCTGCCTTTCTTCTTCCCAGAGCTCTCTCTGTCCAGATGTCCCTGCTCTTCCTCCTGCCTAGCTACTTGCCATTTAGCTTTTTATTAAATCAACCACAGGGACATATCTTCACACAGTGTGGAGGAATATTCCATAACATCTGAGAGCACTTGGCGGTGAAGATGCCAGGAAACCACGAAGCCACAGTCCCATTCTCTAGGTCTTGCTGGAAATCATAGGCAAATTTGGTGATAATTGAGAGTATTTGGTAAGCATGCACTTGAAATGAGTCTAATAGGATTGGACGAAAGGGTGCAAGGAACAGTGTCCTAAGCTGAAGGCAGAGGGAGACAATGCAGATTCTCCTGAGCCACATTCAATGGTTTAGACTTTGGCCAAAGTACCTGGAAAGTTTTTTTTTTTTTTAGAAGGAGATAAAGCAATGAAGTTTTTATCTTACCTGAGTGTTAAGGATACAACAAGAGACCAGTTAGGAGACTGGAGCTATGTAGTGCAGGAAGCAACTGCTTTAGCATTGTGGTCAATGTGAATAGAGAAAAATAAATGGACTAGAGAATGATCTGAGAGACGGGATGTATGGAACAAGATGTCTAATTCACTAAGTGAGTGCAGGAAATAAAGGGAAAGTTATACTTCTAAGCAGTGGCTAACTAGGTAGATAAGGTCATTTGAAAAACCTTCATCAGAAGAATAAGTTTAATAATCTAGATACTCATAGTATTTCCTCTCTTTTTTTGAGACAAAGTCTCACTTTTTAGCCCTGGCTGATTTGAACCTGACTATGTAGGCCAAGCTGGGCTCACATTCACAGAGATCTGCCTGTCTCTTCCTCCAGAGTGCTGGGATTAAAAGTATACAACTATACCTGACTAACCTTAATATTCTTAAATAAGGAGCTGGACATAACTGTTGTTCGAATGTTAAAGGTCTTATAATAAAAAATCCAGAGCCAGATATCAGGGTGAAAGCTGAAAGATCAGAGAAGCAGAAAGTCAGCCACTATTCTTACCTCTATGAAATCCTCAGCCTAAACAGAGTGAGTTCTTGTTTCCTCACGCCTTCTATACCTTTCTCCGCCCTGCCATATTACTGGAATCAAAGGCATGTGTGCTTCCCAAGCAAAGGCATGAGATCTCAAGTGCTGGGATTAACGGTGTGTGCCACCACTGCTTGACCTCTATGTTTAATCTAGTGGCTGGCTCTGTCCTCTGATCCGCAGGCAAGTTTTTTAGGGCACACAATACATCATCACACATAAATGCTCTAGAATGTAGGACTCTTCTACCTTTTTGGTAGGAGATGTGGAATTGAAATGACCCACATGAGATAATTATTCACAATGCACTGGTTAAGCCAATTAAAGTTTTTAGTTCTTTTATTAATGGCTAGAACAAGAGTGGGCTCGTGTCTCTGAAAAGTCTCCTGGTGCCCAAGCTAAGGGGTATGGCATTTTTAAAAGCAAAAATTGCAAAGACCATAATTTACCTCGAAGTTAGGTAAGGGTCAGTGTGTCCTTGAAAAGTTCATTCCTGGCAACACTTAGTAATTATTTCAGACATAGCATGACAACTATTTTAAAATCATATCTTCTTTAGTTACTTTATCTAACTTTAATTATTTTGGTTAATACATCCAGAACATGCAAATACATCAAGGCCATGCAAATCTCAAATGTGTTGCCAAGGCGGACACAACTATGGGGGTGGGTGGAAATGGAGGGCTGAGAACTGTTTAAGCAAACCCAAAACGGAGTTGGAACACGATGGTGTTACCTTAGTCATTTCAGAACAGAATCCAAGCTTATACTGCCCAGTGCCCTTTCAGAGAGAGATGGTAGAACTCAGGAAAGTGTAGGCATCTAGATAAGACATTGCACTCGGTTAGGAATACAGATTGCTACTTGAAAACAAGGAGTTTGGCCAGAAAAATATGCAGATAAAGCATGAAGTTATGTGCCTTGCAGAATGGTTCCTTTCATGAATTGATGAGGAAATGGGAACTTACAAAGCATAGAAAAGACTAGCTACAGAGTTCGAAAGAAAACCTGCAGAATATCCCACCATAGTGATGCTCTCCAGGACTTACTCCACAGGAAGTGGAAACAAGCAAGAGTGATAAACACTACCAGGGTCAAGGAGAAAGAATCAAAAATTACTCATTGTATTAAGGACTTCAAGGTCTTTACTTGTTTATATTTAACTTATATTTAATACAATTAATATAAAATATATTTTACATTGCATATTATATTGTATACAATAGAAACATATAATTAATACAAAAATACATAATTTATATTTAGTACAGTTTCCTGGGAAATTGTGAGAGATGCTAGATTGTAGTGGAATAATAAATGAATGAAAATATAAGAGCCAAGGGTGGCAAGGACAGAAGATTTTTAAAAGATTGTTTTAATAGAAAGGGACACATAGGGCCAGGCAGTGGTGGTGCACGCCTCTAATCCCAGCACTCAGGAGGCAGAGCCAGGCGGATCTCTATGAGTTCGAGGCCAGCCTAAGCTGCAGAGCGAGATCCAGGACAGGCACCAAAACTACACAGAGGAACCCTGTCTCAAAAAACAAATAAAAATAACAGAAAGGGGCACATGGAAAGCAATGCCCGGGGAGAGGAGACGTGGACTTTTTGTTGTTTAGGGAGGAGAAACTGAAGTTTAGTTAAATGCATTAAAATATGCTTGAAAGGAGACACTAGAAACATAACTAAGCGTCTAATGGGATGGGAGTAATTTGTTGAGCAAGGCTTCCAAGAAGACAAAGCGGAGGTGGTCAGAGGACAAGTGGACTCCTTTTCCTTTGGAAACTTCTCCGTTCTTTATATCTGTCTCCCCATTATCTTCTCAGTGACGTCTGGGCAGAAGGAATCCAGATGCAGAAAAGGCAGGTAATTGAGGTCATCTCGGGTACAGGGCTTTTACAAGCTAATTTCCCAGGAAATGGACAGGATAATTAAACGTGAGCCATAAAGGGGCTTTGAAGTAATTAACAATGGATTTGAACTGGACAGAGAGACTTATCCATACAGAGGTGTTGAGAAGGATTGATGTTGAGGGGTTTGTGGGGTTGGGGGACAGGCACTTAGCCTGTCCTCCTAAACTGACATCCACCTGACTCTCTGGGATGGTTTGACTTCTTAAGTGTTCCGCATGGCAAAATATGCATCTGAAGCTCTCCCTTGGCACCTGCACCTCAGACTGGACATCAGACACCCTGCCAGTCACATATACCCGCATGTCCTGCATCCCTCCTAGTACACTTGTCTGAATCCCTCACCCATGGTTTCTCTCCAATAAGGCCAGCCGGAAAATAGACGTCAGCCCCTCATTCTTCCTCCTCCCTCAGCTTGCCCACAATTCTGGACCATACCATCAAATCTAAAAGGGAGCACATTTCCACTCCTTTCCTCACACTTTACCTTCCAGTGTTTGGGGTTTGTTTTTTTAAACATTAATTTCTTTGTTTTACGTGTGTGGGGTTGGGGGAGGAGTGCCCGCAGAGGTTAAAAGAGAACTTGCAGGAGTTGGTTCTCCCCTTCCAGCATTCCTGGAGATCACACAAGTGCCTTTATCAGTTAAGCTGTCTCACTGGACTCTTAGTGGCTTCTAATGAGTAGCTCACTGTTAGTATGTCATGCTTAAATAGTATGGTACAGTCTCTTATGTAGTACAGCAGAGTACTAGAGGAGAGTAAATATTTAAAACATCGCTTTGTCCACAAAATTTTATAATGTAAGACTCTGGCCTATGAAATGTTCCTTGTTTTTTTATTACTATAACAAAAATAGATGTCTGTGTTACAGAAGATTATTTTGTACTTTTGTTATAAAAGTATATTAGAGTCATGGTGCATTCTCTAGGTGTCTGGCAAATCCTCATAACAGCATGGCAATTTGTATGTGTTCAAAGAAAGCTTAGCTAACTTAAACTCTTCTAGGGAAAGCAAACTGCCCATATTATGCTAAGGCGGAACTCCTGGCAGACTACTTACAGAAGAATCTTCCTGATTTTCAGATTTTTAAAATCACACAGCATCCTGATGTGTGGGAGGTAAGAAGCTTTACAGTTACTAAATGCACTTATGCAAGAAAGTGTTCTACTTTGATTAAATGCTGGCTGGTGTATCTTTTTGGCTTCTGATGATGACTATATTCTGATGATAATCTATTAATGGCATTTGGATACTAGTAAAAATGAGTTCCTACTTATCAGTCTCAAAACATGGCTTTTTGCTAATACCTAATAGCACAAAGGAGACTCCAGTAAGTGGAATAAATGTGTTGGCTCCACTCCGACCATACCAAGAAAACAGGTAGTTTGTACTTCACTACTTAACTTTTTCTTTCTCCTTCACATGGAGTCCTAATGGTATGAGGACTTATTTATTTGAGATATCCCTATCTGTGGCTGTGTTGCCCCCTGAACAGACTTCAAGATGGAGATTTTGCAGATTGAATTATTACTGGAAAGTGCTCCCAGGACATCCTGAGAGGAAAGGAAGATGGAGGCAGCAGCATTAGGCAAAGAGAGGAACTACAGCAGAGAAGTCAGGGGGATCCTACAGGAAAAGCATGGTGGGGATCCCTTCAAAGGTGTCCCCCATGTTGAAGAAAGGTAGCTGAGCTTCCTGCATCAGCCACTCACCTGATGTGGGCTGCCCCAAGAAAGAGGGCTTAATCTCAGTCAATCCCTTTAGCTGAGGTCAGTCCTAGAGAGAGATTCAGCAGTTAAGCCTTTGGCCTCTAGTATCCCTAGTGACTGAGGGCACATGTGCCTTGGTTATAAGAGGGAAGGAACCTGGACTATGGACGACTGTCTGCTACAGTCCACCCACTGTGCCTCCGGATCCATGTGCTCCATTAAGTAAATTCACACCATCTGGTAACAGCTCTACTGGGATTCAGATCAAGATCTTTCCCTGGGAAGACTTTATTAAAGGAAGGTTTGTTAATGAACTGTATTCCCCATTGCACAGAGCTTCAGAGCCAAACTGGCACTCATCTCTCTTCCCTGCCATCCATTAGAGGTCCCCCTCTACTGCTCTAGGCCACTTGTTAGGTATAATGACCTAGTTCTGTGTACTTAAGGGACATGAGCCCCAGTCCCTTTTGAAAGACACGGCTATTACACTTTCCCTTGTATGGTCAAAATTGAGCAGAACATCGCCAAAGATGCCCAATGGTAACCTAGATGTTGAATATTTTTTACCCTGGGTGGTAGCTGTTGTACATTCTTCTGATTAGCAGGCCCAGCTACCCTTCCACAGCAGTAACTTCTTTCTTTGCCTGCTGGTCTCTCCTCTCACTGTGACCAATGTCAACTGTAGCTTAAAGGTGAGAGTCTTTTTACGTCCTCTGATAGAAATGCTCATCTTTGGAAATTTAAAACCTTCCAACTCAGACAGGCTAGAGTAAAGAAATTTGGGGAAGCATAAATTCTCCAAGAGGGAGCCTGGGAATGATGGTGAACAAGGTCTTTCTTAATTCTGCCCTTTGATTCCCGAATTCTAAATAGTCTACCCAACAGAGGGGAACACTACATTGATATATAATACGTTTTATGGCCTGAAGGAGCAGAACCATTCTTGCCGTATGTCAGTCTTCTAGCTGGTGTCCGCAGCCTTGCTGGCCTGCCCTACCCCTCTATCAAGATGTATGATAGAGACACTGTACCCCCTAGTGATATGCTCGACCCTGTACCTCTTTTCTTATAAAGTGATCCCTTGGGTTCAAAGATGTGTGCAAGCCCTAGAGGTGGCAGGTCAAACATTTTGTAAGTGCTTAGGCAGGGTTTCTGGTAAAAGCACTCCAAGCAGGAAAGGCCATCTCCTGCCCAGAACATATGCTGATTTCCAATCTAGACGAATCATTTTCCTTTACGTTGTGGAGAGAACCCAGTGTCATCTGTCTTACACAGAGGCAGGTTGATGTCCTCAAGGGATGGTGCCATTACCAACCACTAGCTAGCACTGGTCTTTGTTGCTGGCACACTGACCACTTAGCCATGGTAAGAACTATCTAGGCTTTTAAGACTAGAGGTCCTTCTCTGGAACTGTTGTCTCACTTCTTGTGAGGCCGTTTGCCTAGGCATGTCCAAGTTAGCACGTCTGTGGGGCTGGTTAGCATTCCTCTCAAACAGATGCTCTCTGGTGGGCATCTCCCCCATCCTCTGGACTCCCATATCTTATTATTCCAGTTGGTTGCCCCACAAGGTGCCTTCCCTTTCCAGTACATTTCATGTGACTCTGGTGAATGAAGTATTGTCCGGGCCCCCCAAAATGTAGTTGAGTAGCAGTGTATCCTGATTCCCACAGTGCTGTGCCCACTAGCCTTTTTTAATTAATTAGCGTAGGTACTTGTGAATTTTGTGGCGAGGCCTGCATGTGCTGAGATGTAAGGGAAGATGAGAGAATATTTATTTGCCGAGTCCATTCTATCCTTCAACTCTGCGGGTCCCAGAAATGGAACTCAGTTTGTCCGGCTCAGTGGCAGTCACTTTCACCCACAGAGTCATCTCACCAGCCCCCCACTACCCTTTGACCCCTTCTTCTACTATCTCCCTTGGCAGATTTATCATTTTCACATTCTGTGAGTCCTCATTTTCTCCAAACTTCTGACCCCCAGTTAGGCAATACATTGCCACTGTACTCTGAGAACCTCCCAAAAGTGCAGAGGCGTGATTCCCACGGAAGGAGTCTCCCTGCCCGTCTTTATGTTCCACCCCAGATTCAGGACTCTGAGAATTCAGTCCCACCCACTCCTCCAGCTGCTGAAAGGACAGTCCCGTATCCTCCTTGGTACAGTCCTTTAGGGTGGACCACTTTCTCCCCTCACCCAGTGTGTCCCCAGGCAAGCTGTGCAGTGATTCAAGGGACCACATTGGAAATCTCAGTCTTCTTGCTTTGGGATGAAATAAGAGCATGGACATCTGCAGCACCAGCAGGAAATCAAGTTTGTTTATGAGGTGGCCTCGGTATACGTGCCTTCAACAGTGGAGCTTTAGGACTACTCAAGTTTACCTTACCGATGAGAATGCTGTCCCCTGCTGCTTCTCAGATCATGTCACTGAAAATCTTGGTTTACCCAATCCAGATAATGCTAACTTAAACTTCTTTCTGATAAGTTTGATAAGAAGTCCCCCGGATAACTTTTAGCTCATTAATTCAGTCTAAACCATAGAAACCATGATCATAGATTTGAAAAGCAGAATTAAAATTTATGTGGTCATAAACTAGAAATAACTCATATATAATAAAAATCAGTGTTTTTTTTAAAATCAGCCAACTTAGAATATCTGTCCTCTCTTTAAGTTAAAGACATGCACTTTAGCAAAGGAGTAAGCTACTGCACTTGATTTGGCCACTGGATTTGGAGAGTATTACTTGTTATTTATCTCATCACTATTTTCTTTATTTCATCCATTCACTCTTTGGTTGGGTGGTTGGTCATTTGTTTCTTTTATTGAGATGGAGTCTCACTGTGTAGCCCTGGCTGGTCTGGAAGTTGCTATATGGAGCAGGCTGGCCGGGGTCTCACAGGCTGGCCGGGATTCACCTGCCTCTGCCTCCCCGATGCTACAAGTAAAGGCATGAGCAACAAAGCCCACCACCATTTTCTATGTTTCTATTTTACTCTTTGAAGATATCTGAATGTATTATGCACACATGGTAGCATTAAAAACAAGTGGATACTTCATTGTTTAAATCCAATAATACGGAACTGAATTCTTAGGCAGATTTAATATATGACTTTTATTGGAGTATTTTCCCACAGGAGTGGCTGGAAGAGATTTGTGAGGAGAACAAGTGGGATCACAGTACCTCCCCCATCATCTGGAGAGAGCTGCTGGACCGTGGAGGCAAGGGCTTACTTTTGGGAGGGTACAATGAGTTCCTGGAGCATGCCCAGGTAGGGGGCTTGCATCCCTTATCTGCTCAAACATCATTGCTTTCTAAGCCATTATACCCTCTTTCTCCCAGTCTGTTTTGCATTCTAGTCTTTGTCTGATCGCGCTCTCTTTCCTGAGGTTGAGTTTTTCTTTCCTGATGTTTAGCTTTACTATGGTGTCACTTCCAGCATGACAACCGACCTGATGATGGTCATTGCTAAAGAGAACCTGCAGGCACATATAGAAGAAGAGCTGGAGAAAGAAACCTTGAAAGATCTCGTCAGCCCCCTGCAGGTCTGGATTGCCAGGTGAGAGAGTCAAGCCCCGGGATTTACGAGCCTGGATCTTTATTTTTAGAAAAGACATTGGGATGGGATTGATGCAACGATGAAAGAATACCAAAACAGGTTCGAGATGCGCGTGTGTGTGTGTGTGTGTGTGTGTGTGTGTGTGTGTGTGTGCGTGTGTGTGTGTGTGCGTGTGTGTGTGTGTGTGTGTGTATTCACAGGTCTGGGTTGGTGCATGTATACAAGTGCTTCTGTGTCTCTGTCCTTCAGCATCCATCCCCCATGCGATTTAGGATTTACAGGTAGACATGTCGTCACACAATCTGAAGAAACTTCCCTGGCGTGCGTCCTCTCTGATGGTTGCTCTCCCCCTCTTCCCCGCTGTGGTTTCCTCAGTTCTTCCTCATGCACTCATGAACTGTCGGCAGCCCTGATCCCCGAGGTCTCTTCCTTCCTCCTTCTCAAGTGTGCTCCTCCCTGTCCCCACTCGTCACTCCCTCTCTTCCCGTCTCTGTGCTTCCACCCCCTCCGTGGAGCTCACACTGTCCTTCTGACAACATGTAGTACCCTAACGTATGCCTGCTTCAAAGAAGTGTGTGTAATTATGGGATACTACAAACCCTGAAAAGATTCTGAAATTGGACCGTACACACCCATGACCCTCTCCAAAGTAAAGGACTGAAATGGATACCACCACTGTACCCTCCCCAAGCCCACCAAGAGCAACAGACGTTCTCAGATGCAATTTCCAGCTCCTCACAGTCGATCATCGCTGAAGCAGGAGATCCAGGAACAACTGGTGTCAGATAGAGCACACAACCTGTGCTTATCCTAGCCATCGCTGTAAGGACTTTTCTTTGTGAGACCGTGGGAACGATAATCTGCCCCCAAATAAAAGCATTCACTTGTAGATAAAGGCATGAAAGACAATGGCTAACTGAAGCATACATTGCTGCAGATGTCTTTCTGTATGCTATGAATATGTGTTGCCCTGATTGGTTGTTTAATAAAAGCTGTTTGGCCAATGGCAAGGCAGAATAAGGTTAGGCGGTACTTTCAGATTGGAGAGACAGGAGAAGAACGGAGAGGAGAGGGAGAGAGACACACCAGCCTGCTGCCCAACAAGCAACATGCCAACAGACTGGTAAAGCCATGGAACACGTGGCAAAACATAGATTAATAGAAATAGGTTAATTTAAGATGAAAGAGCTAGCTAGCAAGAAGCCTGCCATAGGCCATACAGTTGATAATTAATATTAAGCCTCTGAATGATTATTTTATAAGCGGCTGAGGGACCACAGGGCTGGGCAGGACCTGAGTGAGGAATGCAGGACCTTGGGGGCCGGGTGGGACCAGAGAAATCTTTTGACTACAATACATCTTTGTCTTTTCATGAAGTAGCATGGATACATAAGCACAACAATCAGAAAGGAGTTTTTGTTTGCTTGATTATTTATTTTTGTTTTGTTTTCTGCATGTGAGAGAACTCTTTTATTTGAAACATCTAATACACCAGCAAATTCTTATTTTGTGGTATCACCAGATGACAAGATGTAGTGAGTAGTGAGACTTTCTCATTCCACTTTTGATTCCTAGCCACATCTGTGCAAGTGTGAGAGTTTTCATGTAAAATAGTGAATCATCCTATGGAGCACATGCAGAAATATCTGTTAAGAATAAAATGCATAAGTGAGCAAAAAACCTAACCATTTTCCATCCAACTTTTGCATTTAACCAGTGCAAGTGCTCATGTGTGCTACCACATAATTCCCCTCTTGGCAAGTGGAGAAGTGTTTGGGATGGACACGAAGATCAGCCTGACCCTGTTTGACCGGGAGCAGATGGAAGACTACCTGAAAACCCTAGTGATGGAAATTGAGGACTTGGCGTCACCCATCCTCCACAGTGTCTCCTTATGCACTAACACAGAGGAGGCCTTCCATCAGGCCCAGGTCATCATCATCCTGGATGACAGCACAGACGAGGAGGTGTACACCCTGGAGGGCTGCCTGAGAAGCAGGGTACCCCTGTGCCGCCTCTACGCTTACCTGATGGAGAAAAATGCTGACGAGTCTGTCAAGGTCATCGTGGGAGGGAAAGTCTTTGTAAACCTTAAAACGGCCTTGCTTATGCAGTATGCCCCTCACATTGCAGGCAACATCATTGCCGTGGCGCTGGGGGTAGAAGGGCAAGCCAAAGCCAAGGTGGCCCGGAAGATGAGAACAACCTCAGCCAGTGAGTGACCACCTACTGCTGTCTTGTGTGTGTTGATACATGGGTTCAAACAGCAGGGAGAGAAGTCTGCATCCCGCAGGACCATCCAACCCGGAGGTGTGGCCAAGAAGTAAACACAGATGTCAGGAGCATCTTAGGAGGGATGGATGGAACCAGTATGGCCCTCCCTCATTCAAGGGATGCTACCTACACTACCCCATCCTCTTACCTAGCTTTTTCCTGGGCATACATGTAGTGGTCCAGTTTAATTCATAAACCCGGGGCCGGAAGAGTTTAACAATAATAAATAGTGATAATCTAATAAACCAATGACAGCAACATACAGTAATTAAAGTGATCTAAAAGTTACCCACTGCTTATATTTGGAATTTTCCATATAATGTTTTAAAGTACAGGGCTGGGATTGTAGATCAGTTGGAGAACTCTTGCCTAGCATGCATGAGAGTCCAGGCCATCTCCAAACCTGCTGCAAACTCCATTAAAAAAAAAAAATGTGTGGTTAACTGAGGCAACCCTGGAATGTGAAGCTGTGGATAAAGGGGGTGATGATGCAAACTTCCTTTCACATATTTTTATGACTTTGTCCATCATTATAAAATCAGCAAATATTTGTTGTAATAAGATCTCTATTAGTCAAGCGATAATTTTAAACCCAATATCCTATTTTCCCATTATAATAATGGGGAAAGTAGTGTGTGTTGTTTAAAAATTATCAAGGCTATGTTAAAACATCTTTGCCTCCTTTCCCACTCATATGACTCTGAGCAATCAAATTGCTGTACCTCAGATTTATCATCTTTAAAAACCAGCAACTCCCTCCCAGAACTCATGTGAAGATCCAATGAGACAATAATCACTTTTCTATTGTGACGAGACACAGTCACCAAGGCAACTTAGAAAAGAAAGCATTTGACTGGGGGCTTGCTTACAGTTTCAGAGGGTGAGTCCATGATCGTTGTGGCAGAGAGCATGGCAGCCGGCAGGCATGGGCTGCAGCAGTAGCTGTGGGCTTACATCTGATCCATAAGCACAGTGAGGCACAGGTGGGGAAGTCGGGGGTGCTTTTGAAACCTCAAAGCCCACCCCCAGTGACACACCTCCTTCAGCAAGGCCACACCTCCTAATCCTTCCCAAACAGTTCCACTAATGGAGGACTAAGTAGTTGAGCATATGAGCCCATGAGGACCATTATCATTCAAACCACCAGACAGTATTTCTAAAGTGCCCATAAAAGTTGCCTGATGCATGGTAGAATTTAGAAGGAGATTAAACTTACATGTTTATTATATCAAATTAAATTTTGTTTTTGATCTTTCAATTGGTAGATCTCAGAAGCATATGAAAATGAGAGTGGATCACATTTAGTATATTTTAGCTCTTTGCATCCTCTAGTTCTTTGTGTCCTTATGACAGCATCCCTGAGGATGAAATTATAGCCATGCTGGAAACAAAAGTTGGGGAGACAGCGGATGTGAGCTGTCCACAGTCCAAGCCAATGCAGTGCAGGATGCCTGTGAGGACCTAACAGAGTCAGTGCTGCTGGTCATCTCTTTGCAGAAAAGCTCAGAGTTCTGTCTTCTTGTATCAGCTTCACCGTCCTACCCTAAAGCTTATACTAATAGTCTTCTTCCTACAAGAAAACAGACAAGAACTTAATCCCCAGGATACAGATTACAGGTTAAGTACCTAGATTGCTAGCTAGGTACTTGTCACAAACTAAAGTCATCTGAGAGGAAGGAACCTCACCTGAGAAAGTGCCCCCATAAAATGAGGCTGTAGGTCACCCTGTAGGGCATTTTCTTAATTAGTGATTGATGTGGGAGGGCCCAGCCCATTGTGGGTGGTGCCATCCCTGGGATGGTAGTCCTCTGTGCTGTGAGAAAGCAGGCTGAGCAAGCCATAGGGAGCAAGCCAGTAAATGGCACTTCTCCATGGCCTCTGCATCAGCTCCTGCCTCCAGGTTCCTGCCCTGACCTCCTTCAGTGATGGACTACAATGTGGAAGTATAAGCCAAATAAACCCTTTCCTCCCCAATAGTTTTGGTTATGATTTCATCACAGAAATAGTAGCCCTAACTGAAACAATGGAGTAATTGAGTAAATAAATGAAATTATTTTTAAATTGCATAAAGCCTTTCCAGAAAATCAATAATTGTAGAATCATACATATTAAATTCCAGTCCTTGTTTTCTCCAGCTCAAATTCTTTCATTTTTCTCCACAAATATATAACTACCACATGACTATATGATATTGTTTTCTCATTCATCCCCTCTATCCTTAAATGTTGTAATATATAGGGCTGGTTTGTTTTCTCCTAAACCTTGTGTGTTTGTTTGTTTGTTTGTTTTTTGAGGCAGGGTTTCTCTGTGTAGCCCTGGCTGTTCTGGAACTCACTCTGTAGACCAGGCTGGTCTTAAATTCACAGAGATCTGTCTGCCTCCGTCTCCTGAGTACTGGGATTAAAAGTGTGTGCCACCACTGCCCAGCCCAAAACTTCGTTTCTAAAAGTTCCTCCGATGAAGAATATAATCACCATTATTTTACAAGTGATAAAACCTGCCCAGAGAGTTGCCATTTACACAGATTTCTGTTTCAGTCTAGAATCAAAAGTGCCTTGTGAAAATCTGAACAACTGAAAAGTTTCCCTTGGGGCAGGGGAAACATCTCAGTCAGTAAACTGTCAAGTGTGATCACGTGCATCTGTAAGCCTAGCACACTGGAAGTGCAAACAGGTGCATCTCCAGGGCTCACTGGCCGGCCAGTTCTGTCATTTCTTAAGAGACACAGTGGAGAGTGCCTGAGGAAGATTCCCAGTGCAACTTCTAGCTTACATGTGAACACTCATCCAAACATGGTCATGCACTGTGTGTGTGTGTGTGTGTGTGTGTGTGTGTGTGTGTGTGTGTGTGTGTGTAAGAGGGGGAGTGAAGTTGAGCAGCACAAACGATACAATTTTCATTAGCAATTTCTTTCATGGCAGGTTCCCAGTATTCTTTAAATTACTCATCTAGCTCACCATTCACAAGGCATTCCTAGTGACTACCAAGCCCTGATAATTGGAGAGGTGAACCCCAGCTTCTGCACAGGTTAGAGAGCTTGGGCTTCAGTGGACCAACCCTAGAAAAAATATACAGACTAAGCATTGCATTTAAGTAAATTTTATATTGACAAACTTTATTATGATCATTTCTGATTCTGTTCTGCATAGACATCAAAGATGTGATAATTTGGGGTAATATCAGTGGAAATAACTACGTTGATCTAAGGAAAGCAAAAGTTTACAACTACGAGAGCGCCATTAAGGGACCTCCTGGATACTATCACTCTGTGTTAGGCATGATTTTTGACAGGTACAGTATATTTTTTTAAGTGAAGTATACTAACAGTAGATAAATTAAATGATGTATAACAGTTGAAAGCACTATTAAAACATTTTGTAAAGTTTGCACAAAATAACTTACATTGTTTATGCATGTATGTGTCTGTGTTTTCTATTGAAGAACCAGAAAAATCCACAGAATAGTAACTTGTTGGTCCCCACCCCTGTTTGATTTATTCTAAAATGAAGAACTTTCATATTTCAGGCTATCCTGAAAGTAGTTCATATATTCTGTTACAGTTGTGTCTACTGCAAAGCAAAGCAAAGACAGGTATATATCCAAGTAGAAAACAGTTGAAGCATTTGGAGGAAGAGGCGTTAAGATGATGAGCAGGCCATGTCAGGTTGACCATTAAGTCCCAAGAGAGGCAGAGCTGAAAAGTAGTGTGTCCCAAGAGCAAGAATCCTCCTGGGTTGGAATCCTGTCACCATCACTTATTAGTTGTGTGGCTTTAGGGAAGTTACGTGAAATTTGTGCCTCAGGTTCCCCACTGAGAGGATGGAAATGGTAGCATGGCCTGTCCCGTGGAGAATAAATGGGAAAAACCAATGAATTCATCCAGGGAAACAATGGTGATATTTTATTTGTGCTGGAATGTGGTGATATTTTATTTGTGCTTTAATAAATAAAGCTTGCCTGGAGATCAGAGGAAATAGCAAGCCATTTTAAGTAAACAAAGTAGTCGGGCAATGGTAGCACACACCCTTAATCCTATCACTTGGCAGGCAGGATCTCTGGGTCCTGGCCACACTGGAAACAGAGCCAGGTGTGGTGGCACGTGCCTTAATTCCAACTCTAGTTAACCATGGAGGTCTGGAGGTCTGTACAGACAGACAGGAAGTGACAGAGCTGGACAGGAAGAGGAAGTGATGTAGCTTGACCGAGAGAGCAAATCAGATGGCAGAACAGCAAGGCATATAGACACGGGTAGACAGGAAGTAACCGGCATTTGGAAGCTGCAGAGTTGGTGAGGTAAGGTTGGCTGGTGGCTTTCCCTATTTCCCTGATCTCTCCCAGGCTTTAACCCCTATGTTTAGCTCCATATTTTTTATTTAATAAGACCATTCAGAAATTCATCTACAGGAAACACTGGTATCGTGATGAGAAAGGAGAGCAGCCAGAGCCCCTCTGAAGCACTTTTCTGTTACCCTCCCCAGTTCCCCAACTGCAGCTTTTCCTTCATCCTTTATCCCCCCACTCCCCTTCAGACCAGGGCATTGTTATCCATGCCTAGGAACAGTGTGTGCTGGGCTCCCTCTCCCAGAGTCCAGTTTCTCTGCATGTGCTGCTTGAGTGGGGTCCATGGTACAGGGATCTGGGGCATTCACTGACTCACTAATAGGGTAAACCTTGCTCTCACCCAGCTGGGCTCATACCTGAGTTTATACTTCAAGACCATAAAACATATTACCCCAAATCTCAATGTGATAATTCACTGTTTAATGGACATACTTCATTTTAAATGAAGGATATGACTGGTCCCAAGAAAGCATCTACATATGATTAATTACTTGCAATGAAAGAAATTGTTTCTATAACCTTTGACCTCTTTCCAGTGTTCCATATTTTATTACTACACTTCAGACTGAAATTTGGTGGTTCCTTTCTGCCCAATTGCATTGTTTTCTTAGGTAATAAGGACACCTGAAGAAAAGGTATGTGGGTCACATTCCTGTCTAGATGGTGCATATAGCTCCCTAGACTGAGTTCACCCTTTCCATCCCTCTCTCTGCTGTGAAATTGCTTTTTTTCTTTTCTCAAAGTGAATGGATAAAAAAAGACTTTGTGATGATGCTTCAAGAATTGAGCAACACTGGAAAGGAATTTGGAGGGATTTTGGGTGCACACAGCATAGCCACCACACTGAAGTACTGGTATCAAGGCTCACCACCTGGAGAGATTGTTTCCTTGGGGATAATGAGTGAAGGTAATAATTCCTGTAGCATGGTATATAAGTTGTGCAGATTTTAATAGTACCATAATTCATTCATTCATTCATTTATTCAACTGTTCATTCAAAAATTCAACAGTATTTATTGCGAATGTACTAGAGAGGCAGACAAGGATTACACCTGACTTCTGCCTTCGGAAAGTGATGGAGTCAAGGAGAGCCAGGTCTCAAGAAGTAGTCTCATGACATTTTTCTCTCTGTATCCAGCTGAGAAAGAGAAAACCAAATCTATTCTAGGCAGGGAGCAGGTAGTCAGATCAAGCTTCATGAAGAGAAGGCATTGCAAAGTCTCGAAGTCTTTGACGCTGACCTGGAAGGCCAGTGTGGGAGGGCACTGAACACAATAGCAAAGACTCAGAGCCAGTATACAAAAGTGCAAGGAGACCCATTCTTCTGGAGATCAGGTAGCACTGGAAATGTGGAAAGGCTGCTGTAGTCGAACTTTAGCTCCCCAGTAATAACACAGAGGCTTCTTATTAATTATTAATTTTATTATTATTAATTGTGAAAGCTCAGCTGATAGCTTGGGCTTGTTTCTAACTAGCTCTTATAACTTAACCCATTTCCATTAATTTACTTTCTGCCACATGGCTTTACTACCTCATCTCCATAGTGCCCATCCTGCTTGCACTATGTCCCTGGTGTATCTGCCCTTCCTCTTCCCAGCATCCTCTGTGCCTGGAAATCCTGCCTAGCTATTGACCATTCAGTTTTTTATTAAACCAATCAGAGTGAAACATCTTCACAGTGTACAAAGAGATTATTCCACATTTCCCCCTTTTTGTCTGAATAAAAAAGAAAGGTTTTAATTCTAACACAGTAAAACTGTATACAATAAGAACAATTATCAGGTAAGAATTACATTTACAATGCCCAATCCATTTGCATTTCACAAATTTGGAGAAAATATCCCATTATCTATCCTATCTTAGTCCAAAGTTTAATACCTAAACCATTTTTTGTCATAACTTGTATTACCATCCTAAAAATATCTTTTTAGATCTTAAAACTTTTTAGATTAAAAAAAAAACTTGAGGTTTTACATTTCTCAATCTTATAAACCTTACATCTCTTATGTAAATTTCTTTTCTGAATTTGGTAACAAGGAAAACTGTAGAACTATAACCATCTAGTCTTCAATCCCCATCAGAGACCAACAAAGGAGAAAATATTATGTGGTTAAACAGGAAGTGCAGAGCAAGCAACTTCCAAAACTATAAGAAATGACAAAACAACCAGCTGCCCAGACAGTCACCCAAGGTTCCTTTGTAACAATGGAGCATCCATCTTCAGCCTACAGGCCTAGAATACCTGACAGACTTTTTCTGTAAAGCAAGAATTTTTGAAGGACTGTCCTACCTTGTTGACAAAGTTTGGCAGTCACTTTCTTTTGTGTCCTTGTCCGGTTTAGACAGCATACTGTCAGCAGTCAAGGAAAGGGCAGTTTCTTGCCCAAGTAGCTAGCTTTTGCCATAAAGAAAGTAAACTCTATATAAATGTTCTTTCATTCCCATCACCCTTTTATGAAATAGACTGGTGCTGCCAGGAGCAGACATGTCTCACTGTCATGAAAAGCCCTATGTTATTAAAACACTAAAATGTTATATTCTGAAGTCTCTGAAGTGCTTGAAGACCATCTATCTACTTAAAATATGTCTCTGACCTTGAAAATAGACCAAACATGACTATAAGTTTGATTGTTATAGTCAACTACTAATCTATATTTCTTTATTATCCTAAATAGCTTTCAAGGACTAAAATTTTATATTACATTTTTAAATGCACTGCATAGGTACAATATCTTAAACAAGAATAGAAGCATATATATAGTATAACAAAAATAATCTTAAATTTGTATCAATATACAAAAATCCACACCATTATAAAATATTCCTTCCCTCAGAAAGAGATCTTTGAATCTAATCTCCCTTGTTTAACTTTCTCTCTGACCATGACCAATAACAACTTGTAACCAACCCCCCCCCAAACAATGACAAACATCCATAACCAACTGAATGACTGAAAACCATTCCTTTTGGAATGTGGGTGTTGTGTTCTCTAGACTACTTCCTGTTGTCTGGGGGTGCTGACATCTTTAGGGGACCCTGAGAAAATTAGGACAATGGTTAAGTCCTGGCTAGAATAGTCTGTGAGGCTGGACCACCTCAGCTGGCAGTCTTGAAGCGATTCTGGATGTAGAACTCTTAGGAAGCTGCAACAGAGGTGCTCTGAGAGGCTGAATCACCTGGGCCACACATTTTCATTGGTTTTGGGTCCCCTTGCTCTGAAAACACATAAACTTTCAAAGATAGCAAACATATCTGCATTAACACAAGTATGGACTGTGCACTGTACACAAGGCAGCCAAAGATGATTTTTGTTTTATGTTTGAGCAAGAAAATATATGTCACCTGTCCTGTAGTTTTTTTAGGTTTATTTCTTTATGTCTGTAGCCAGGATTTTCAGAGGATACCCCCCCCCACACACACACACCCATAAAATCTGATCTCTATTACCCTTGAATGAGTCCACAGCTTCTCATTTTCTGTGGAAACAAAACCATAACCTCACCCCCAAAGTAACATGTTTTTTTGACTTCCATTTTGAAGCTAAGGCATTTTTAAAATGTATAGGTTGATTTAATTTGGTAGTTTTTTAAATATAATCCAGTGTCTCTCAACAGCTATTGTTTGCTCATCAGCAATTAAAAAAATTAAAGTCAATACAACACCATATAGGATCCAGACTCCCTGTATATTTCCCATCTCTACATGGCTTATTCTTTTTTTATTATTTATAAATGATTTACTTTTTTCTATGACTGTCTATACTCACTTTCTTTTCTTTCTTAAGCCTACACACAATTTTAGACACACTTTAACCTGTTTGGAAGTTCTTTCCATCTTGATCTGTCTTTACTGAGCATCTACAACATTCTCTGATCACGTGAGACCAATCTTAAACTATGTCAGCTGCCAGCAGGGCTTGGTTTAGTGCATTTCGCTGGTGTGTGCTGGAGGCTGGCTCAGCCTGCAGGCAGAGGCCAGTAGCTGCACCTCTGTATGATGCCAAGCACCAGCCTGCCTGAGAGACTGCAGGACTGGGAAACTACATCTGGCTCTTTGTCCAGAACTTTATTTTGCTTTCTTTGGCCCTATGTTTGGATCTATGAGCCCCCACATTGGATGCCATTTATAGTTGGACTTTTTTGTCAGACCATCAGCTCCCCAATAATGACACAAAGACTTATTATTAATTATGAAAGCTCAGCTGATAGTTAGACTTTTATCTAACTAGATCTTATAACTTAAATGAACCTGTTGCTATTAATTTCTTTTCTGCCTCGTGGCTCTATTACCTTATTTCCATAGTGCTCATCCTGCTTGTACTGCATCCCTGGCATCTCTGCCCTTCCTCTTCCAGCATCCTCTGTGCCTGGAAATCCTTTCAGCTTTTTATTAAACCAATCAGAGTGACACATTTTCACAGTGCACAAAAATATTATTCCACAACAGGCTGCCACCCATCACCAAAACTGCAGAGGCATGCCCTAAGCTAACAAGCATGCATAAGTCTTCCATCATCCTCACAAACTAGAAAAGACAGTGGCTGCTGCTGTGTCCTCCCTCTGTAGGTTCAACCTTAAGCATTTCTTCCTTTTTGTTTTTGTCAATCTTGTTCACTCCCTGATCTTCAGGCCTGGGCCTCTCTGCTGAGTTTTAGCCTCAGTCGATTGGAAACATGACCATGTGAACAGCATGCTGTCAACCCAACATATGGCAACCTGAACCTGCTGGCTTCCTTCCCACTCAGCTCCATCCCTGGCATCCCTTGTGTTATCAATAATGCCACCATCTCCTCCTTGTTCCAATTTCAGTGCAGCTCAGAGACGTCTTCAAAAATCTCCAGTGTGAGAATTAATGTCTGTCTCTCCCCATGCTCACACAACATGTTGTTCCTCTCTCAGACGGATATTCTAATGGACCTTTGTAGATGCATACATCCTCTTCATTAGAATATCCGCACTGAGGGTAGGGCTTCCTCTGTGTCACCTCCACATCTCCATAGGAGAAGTATCTTAGGTGACGCTCGGTCAGAAGTGTACAATGCCTGAACATTGCCACACTGGGTCTCAAGTTGGTTGGTATGTTACCTTTGTGGAGAAACAGGCATTGAAACCCCTCAGCAGATACTCGCTTGACTTGAGTTCAGTTTGCTTTCTAGGATTCATATGGAAGAAGGAGAGGACCTCCAAACATGCACGTGGCACATGCACGTGGCACATGCACACAAACACACACACACACACACACACACACTGTCCCACATACAGGCCAGTAGTGAGCTGTGCCTCCCACAGCCACTGACAGCAGTGATTCTGGTGTGCAGAATAGCAGGATTTAGCAATGTCCTACCTGAAAGTCATTCATAGGAAGTGAACACAATGGGAAGTAAGTATGATTAGTGCGACAAGAACACAGGTGGAGAACTGGAAGCTGGAAGGAAATAACCGGGTCTCCTGCCCACTTCCTCTCCTCTCCTCTCCTTTCCCAGTCCGGCATTCCTTGCCAACATGGCTGCTATAATGTACTGGTTTTATGTCAACTTGACACTAGCTGCAGTCACTGGAGAGGAGGGACCCTCAGTTGAGAAAATGCCTCCGTAAGATCAGGTTACCGACAAGCCTATAAGGCATTTTCTTAATTAGTGATGGATGCAGGAGGACCTTGCCTAATATCGGCAGGGCCACTCCTGGCTGGTGATCCTGGGTTCTATAAGAAAGCAGGGTGAGTAAGCTATGTGGAGCAAACCAATAAGCATCACTCCTCCATGGCCTCTGCATCAGCCCCTGCCTCCAGATTCCTGCTGTTTGAATTCCTTTCCTGAACTCCTTCAATGATCAACAATGGTAATTGTTAGATCCAAAGGAAACTCCAGTTTCCAAAACTCCAAAAGTCAGTTCAAATACCCAGAAATGGGCTCAACCTGGAGTATAGAAGAAGTTCTGGTGGTTAGATAAAAGCCAGAATTCCTCCGGAATTTGTGAAGCTGGTTGCCGTCTACCAAAGAAGCTATTTCCCTTACCTCTGGCAGAACGGACAAATGGCTACTTGCAGTGCCTATTAGCATGCCAAAATGCACGCTGGCCTCCAGGCTCCTCCAGAATCACAAGTACCTGTTACACATTGCAAAGTCCATGCTAACCTCCTAGCCCTTCCCAACCTCCTCCACTACTCCCTCAAGCTTACCTTTCCCCTAGCTGCTCATTCTCCTTATTGGCGCTTGGAAGTCAGGTGATACCTACAGCTCGGTTCTGGTGGGGCATGGTTTCCCCACAGGAATGTAGCAGTTCTGCTCCTGTCTGGAAGAGCCCTTACAGCTCTACTCTGCTCTGCTAAGGGAGTTCCCCCACAGAACACAGCTCTGCTCCTGCTCCCACAGAAGTTGTTATTTCTCTACTCCACTCTGCTAAGCGAGTTTTCCCTGCAGAAATGTAGCAGTTCTGTTCTTGCTCCAGCGAAAATCGTTACTTCTCTGCCCCACCCCACTGGAGTAAAAGAAGTCACCCAAACCTCATTCAAGGGATTTATTGGAAAGGAGGAATCCGAGAGAGTGGCCGCCTCTGCCAGGGTGGAAAAAGGCAGCTCCCGGCTGAACAGGTACAGGACTTACAGAGCTTCTTAGGTGTAGAGTTTTTCTAGGGTGAAGAATTGGTTGGATTTCAATCCCTGAGCTTGGACAAGCTCAGAGATAGGCTATATTTCATCCTCAGGGATTGGTTGGTTTTCGTGTCACGTTGGTCAAGGGCAGAGTATGTTTCTTTGGCTCTGGTTTCAGGGACAGGGTGTGTTTCTCTCACTGGCTTTTGTTTTTACCCTTTTGGCTGTGGTTTCAGGGTCAGTGTTTCTTTGGCAGACCCTTTTACCCTATACTTATAACCTTGCTATTTTTGCTGTCTATCTATCTATCTATCTATCTATCTACCTACCTACCTACCTAGCTACCTATCATCTCTATGCCCCCTCTCTCTTTGCCCCCCCCTTTTTCTCACTTTATTTCTCTGCTTCTGTTTCTCTCATGACCAGGTCCAGTCTACTTCTTTATTTCTCTGCTCTGGACTTTTCCAGATGCCTCTGGGTGTTCTCTCTCCCATATCTACAATAAAAATCTCCCCCCTTAATCATATCATGGAGTGGCTGTGTCATCAGTTTCTACAGTGGTGAAGCATAAACCAAATAACCCCTTTTCTTCCCCAAGTTGCTTTGGCCATGGTGTTTCATCACAGCAATAGTAACCCTGACTAGGATATGTAGTAAGCTAGAATAGAAGGCCAGATTAGACAGGTTGTTCAGGCTCGTGGGTTACATGCAGAGTCATGGAACAGCTATGGGAAACGGGCGCAAATTACACACAAGGCTTGGAAAAGAAAAGCACTTCCTTCCTTGTAGGGGACCAGAATTTGGTTCCCAGTATCCATATCAGGCATCCCACACTACCTGTAACCCCAGATTCAGGGCATCTAACACCCTCTGCTGGCCTCCTTATGTGTATGAATGAGCACACGCGCATGCTCACACACACACACACACACACACACACACACACACACACACACACACACACTCTTAAAATCGTGTACTATGTGTGTCGTTTTCAGTCCTTTTTCCAAATCCTTCTTCATTTACTCGTGGTCTGCCTTGTGTGTGTTCCCTACAGGCCAATTTGGTATTCCCGAAGGGCTCGTCTTTTCTATGCCTGTGAAGTTTGAGAACGGAACTTGGGTGGTTCTTACAGACCTTGAGGACATTTTGCTGACTCCACAGATAATAAACAGGCTCGTAGATGATCTGGTTCAGGTAATGGCAGAGGACTGCAAAGGAGCTGGCCTTGATAATGATCCTCAGATGGTTCTGTAGGCCAAGGTGCGCATGATTTTCTGGGCTCGATTTACATCATATTCCTGAAAACCATAAAACAGCAAAGGTTTGGAGAATATAGCAAAAAGCATGTTATGCATCTGGTTTTATAATTTTCAGTATGCTAAAAATATTTGTCTCAAATCAAGAATCAAAGATTTTTTTCTGTTAAAGAATGATTCAGTGGTTACTGTCATTAAATTCTCTGATTATAAATTTTTCAACAGGAGAAACTTGTTGCACTTGGAGACATATTATCTTTTCAGCCAGTTCAAGAAGGTAATCTCATAAATGTGTTGTTTCTTGAGCTAATGTCAAAAAGGTACTATAAGGATGCAGGGATATAGGGGTGTGGGGATGATTGAGGGATGCAGGGATATAGGGGTGTGGGGATGATTGAGGGATGTAGGGATATAGGGGTGTGGGGATGATTGAGTGATGTAGGGATATAGGGGTGTGGGGATGACTGAGGGATGTAGGGATATAGGGGTGTGGGGATGACTGAGGGATGTAGGAATATAGGGGTGTGGGGATGACTGAGGGATGTAGGGGTATAGGGAAGGCTCGGTGGTTAAGAGCACTGGCTGCTCTTACAGAGGACCTCGGTTGGATTTTCAGCTCCCCCTTGGTAACACACACACATCCACAACTCCAGTTTAAGTGTGTACAGTGCCCTTTCCTGGCCTCCTTTTTCACCAGACATGCGTGTGATGTAAAGATATATGCACAGGCAAAGTGCTCATACACATAAAATAAAAATAAATCTTTTTTTAAAAAAGGTACTATAGGGCTGGAGAGGTGGTCTGTGGGTAAGAGCACTCGCTGTGCAAACATGAAGTTTGAATTGTTGGCACTAACGCAGAAAAGTAAGTGTGGCCACACACAGAACACAGGATCGGTTCTAAACCAGGAGCATGTCTAGTGTTAAGTCTGGAGGAGGGGGTGGCGGTTGCAGATGAAGGTACCTGTGTGGGCAAGGAGAGTATGGGAACAGTGCAGGAGGGAAGACCCTGGAGTGAACGACCGTAATGAAGAAGGGCAGCGTTGGCAATAACTAATTAAAACGGAGAAAAAATATACAGGAAAGGTACAGGGAGTTCAATGGAAGTCAAAGACCAAAACATAACAGAGTCCAGTGTGTGGTTGTAGGATTCCCTAAAAAGATGCCCGGCTGTCTGGATGCAGACAGGGAACATAATATTAGTGTGTTCTTCCATCCCATTTTGTGAGAATGGTGGAATTCGATGCTGTGTTCCAAAAATTATTCTGAGGTTTTTCATACTAACTTTATTTGGAAGAACAAATTATCTCCCAAAAGTTTCTTCTTTTTCTCATCTTCTTCCTTTTTTTTTTAAACTCAGGCTTTAAGTAGTTGCTGAGGTGATTTGGGTCATCAGCATTGAGAATGAGCCCAATCTTGTTGCTTTGCTTAGCATTTGAGGAGGAAGAGGGTAAGGCAAAGAAGTTTCAAGTAACAGTGATAAAGACAGGCTATATTTGGTGGGTCTATATTGCACAAAGAAGGAAAAGCTAACTAGAAATCAAGTTTTCAAAGTCCAGCCAGAGGCCATATAAAACGTATCTAAGAACCTATCAGTGAAAATTCCAACCATCTAAGATGGTTGCTTTCTTTCAGAATGGACTAGTTAAAAAAAAAAAAAAAAAAAAAAAAACAACTGGCAGAAGGCCATTGGTTGAGACCAAAGAGGATTTAGTGGAGTGTGGGTAGAATGTGAGGCTGGGGATTTCAGAGCTTGGCTGATGATCAAGTCCCTAGAACCGAGCCAAAACAAACACAGCCCAGAGGCAGAATGAAGGTGGGGGCTTCAGGTTATAGAAGTCCAAGGGGCAGCTGGTTTTAACATGAATTCTTTTCTTCTTAAAATTTACAGGTCCCCTGGGTGGCTGCCTGGGTTTGGCAGACTAGGGCTGTAATTTTCTTTCTCTAGAAAGGGCTACAAAACTGTCATCCTATATTTGACTCATTGACTGGTAACTGGTCCTAAATTTCCCAACTATACTTGATTATAGAGAGTCTTGCGAAAGAATGTGACTATTCAAATTCAGTGGTATATACTGAATTTTTATTAACAAGGGTCAAGATTGCTTTTTACTTTGTTACTTTTGGACCTTGTATCCACTCCAAAAAAATAAAACCCACTGTCCCAGATCTTCCAAAAATAACGTGAGCATTGCACCTCTGAATTTGGAGATCTCTGTTAATAGCTTGTCAATGAGAAGATTCATGTAGGAGGCTTATGATTCTCTTCAATTATTTTAATATTAGTTTTCTGGCCATTAGACTCTAAACTAAATTTTAAAAAGGTTGAAGGGTCTCTGACCTCTCCACAAATGACAACCAGGAAGAGCACAAGGCCATGAATGGTAAGGAGACTCATGTGGAGAAAAAAAAAGTTCCTTTCAATTTAAGAATTTGCACTGAGTTTCAAAGAAAGGAACTTAACCATCTGCTAGCCATAAAACAGTTAAGATCTTCAAAATCCTCATCCCATACTAAAACATAAGATCGTATTTTATACCTGATCCTAGCCCAAAGACCAAGCTACATGAGATCATATTTTAAAGGCACTAATAAATCTTTGTAGCAAACTACAGGATATTCCTTGAGCTCCATGGAATCTGCTGGTTTCTGTGAGAGGGAGGTTGCCATAGTTAGGGTTTCTATTGCTGTGATAAAACTCTGACCAGAAACAACTTGGGAAACAATGGTTTGTTTCAGCTTACACTTAGACTTGAGAGTCCATCATCAAAGGAAGTCAGGGCAGGAACTCAGAGCAGGAACCTGGAAGCAGGAACTAATGCAGAAACCATGGAGGAATGCTGCTAACTGGCTTGCTCAGTCTGCTTTCTTAGAGCACCCAGGACCACCACCAGCCCAGAGTGGCACTATCCATTGTGAGCTGGGTCCTCCCACACCAGTCATCAATTAAAAAATGCCCTACAGACTTGCCTACAGGCCAATTCTATAGATGCATTTTCTCAATTGAAGTTCCCTCTTCCCAAATGACTCAAGATTACATCAAGTTGACATAAAACTATCAAACACAGAGGTTCTAGCCACATAAATCATGTAGGGAAAGGACCCAAGAGCCTATGACATGACAAGACTCACAGTTAGTTAAACAGCTGAACAAAACAGAGTTTTGTGGCTCAAAATGAAGGAAACATGATTGGCAAGCTAAACACTCAAAGGGAAAAGAAAGATTCATTAACATGAAGGAGAAAACCTAACATGTCTTGAAAATTACTTGGGAACTAAGATGGCTGAAGAGAAATGAATGGGTGTTAGTTCAGGAACAGCACTGTGTTGGTCATGCAGCGTACGAGTTCTAGAGCTCTGCCATACAGCAGTGTGCATGGCTAACAATGCTGTGTTGGGATGCTACATTTTTATGAGGTAGTTTTCATGTCCTATGTATTTTACATCACAAATGGATGAAGCGGGAGGAGGGAGGAGCTATGCCAGGAGGTGAGAGCTTTAAAAACATCAAACAGATACCTGCCTTCAAAGTATCTACTGTTTAGCATGTAAAATAGCAGAGCAAAGAGGAAAAATTCAGTTCTGAGAGATGTCTTTGTTTATTCTGGCCATTATTCTGAAAAAACAGCTGGAAGTTACTTCTCGTGGTTCCAGGGGCATGCTGAGATGCGGGCACTGGCAAATTCAGTGTGTGGTCAGGGCAAGTTTTAGTATTTGTTTCTCTGTCTCCACATGGGGGACAAACGCCAATGAATTCCCATAATTCTGAATTCACGAGGATTCTCTATCCCCTCTAGTCACTTCCCAAAGTCCAGCCTTCCAATGTAATCATGAGAAGGTTTAGACGTCAACGTATGAGTTGATATGGGTGCAGAACAGAAGCATTTGCATCTGATGAAGAGACAGGACTGTGACAGAGGCCCAGGCTAGAATGGAAGCAATTGGGGGGGTATCCTGTGGTAACTGGCAGTGTCAAGAAAGACTTCCAGGACAGATGACATGGGAGGTTGGTTGTAGGGTGACTGATCCTTCCTTCATGTGATTTATAACAAAAGTGTGTAATTGAAGGGGAGAGGAGAGGGAAATTGTAAAAAGCATCTATCAGAAGGAAAAGAACATGGCAAAGAGGCCTTTCAGGTAACCAAGGCAAGGCCGAAGCGCATAGTTTCCCCAAATAGTAAGGTATCTGGGTTAGGTCAGAGGATGCAAAATGGACTAACAGACCTGGGAAAGGAGGTAGGAGTCATGTGATGTTTGGCTATAAGGTTATCAATTTGGCTAGTGGATGGTTGGACAAGCATGGAATAGTTGGAGGCTGGCCCTTCTGAACTAACCTGGTTATTTCAGTAGCCCCATGGAGGTCTTTTACAACCCACATCACTATCCAGAGAACTGAGTCCCAGCCTCAGCAGAGCTTAAGGAGCCTAGACTGAGTCTGTGGAGGCGCTATTCCTCAACCAGCACCAAGCAATACTAATGAGAGACTGGAGTGCACCGAGGCCTTGAGAGACCTGAGAAAACCTATCCAATCTGTCCTGAAGAAGGTGACTGGCTGCCTTCTGGGATGATAAGAGGAGAAAGTGAGCTGCAGAGAACACATTCTCTAGAACAGTTCCAACTTAAGTTGGTAGTTAAAACTTGAGGCACTTAGCCAAGTGAGATTCTTATGCAGACTACGGAACTCCAGTCCCCTGGGTCCCCTGACAAAGCAGAGAAAGTGGCGCTGATTTCGGGCTGTCTGGGGGTGGCTTGTTGAATGAACATTAAAATCAATCATACCATATAATTCTTTCTGAATTGTAGAAACTCTGTTACCTCTGTGGGCAGCAAAAAAAAAAAAAAAAAAATTAATGGTTATGAAAATCAATTTAATCACCAGGACTTTCACATTGAAATATTATAAAATTGATAAGAGGGATTAAGAAAAGATGCTCTTCCAGTTAACTTGGAAATAGAACAGGATAGCACAGGATAGCCCAGGACAGCACAGGATAGAACAGGACAGGACAGGATAGACCAGGACAGGATAAAAGAGGATAGAAGGAAGGGAGGGAGGGAGAGAGGAAAGAAAAAACAATAGATAAGTAAACCTTATACATATTAATAATAGTATATACAACATATTAATAACAATCTGTTTATCAATAGTATGTATTAATCATATTTGCTAATTAACATCACACACACACACACACACACACATACACACACACATACACACACGAAGCCAGGCATGGTCCTGCCTGTGATCCTAGTACTTTAGTAGTTATCTAACTCTACTCAGAATCAGAAACCAGCTCGAGCTACACAATGACATCCTTTCTCAAAAAAAATATTTTGAAATGAATGGTAAGTAAAAGGAGATTAGGAGAGTACTGTGGAAAGTAATTTTTGGTTAATCTGTTTGTACACAAACATACTGAGCTATGATATCTCACACACACACACACACACACACACACATACACACACACACACACACAGTTTTTTTTTTACCATCAATCCTGGCACAAAGTTTGAAAAGCACTAACTCAAAATATCCCACAGGCTGTTTATTATATTTGAACCCTGACTTTAGTTTAAATTTTTGTTTCAGAACAAAAAGATAGTAGCACACATTACATTATAGGCCAGGATGAAGAGAAAGATCAAGCTGTGTCGGACGGTGAGTCAGCAGATCTGGGGACGATTTCGGGGATGCTCACGGTCAGGGCCCACACTCCTGTTGTAGAGCATGAGACGGTGATAAGAAGGCTTCAGTAACAACTCGGTTTTCCCCATGAACACTTTGAGAAAGGGATGAAAGCATCCACAACTGCTTTCATAACAACATTGCTTTTGCGTCAGACCTCAAACTCCAAGACACTTCAGCTCAGTCCTGGCCCCGAATGTATTACCCTCTCTACTTTTCTCCTTTACAAAGCCTAAAATAGCCAACAGGGCAAAAGGGAATTCTCTTCAGAAGGTCCTGAGAGGGGAAGCCTGAGAGACCCAAGTGAACAATCTCTCTGACACTGAGAACTTTGTTCTCAGTGGTGGAATTGTGGAGCAGGTGGGGAAAACTTGAGAATACCTATACAGAAGCAAGTATGTTTTCTAAGTCTACATACACAGAAAAAATGTATAAAATAATTATCTAGTGTGCTTCCATTTTTACCATTCTCTTACCTGCATCCCTTTGTGTAGAAGGAAGCGGGGCATCATTGAGCAGTCGCCCCGTGACTTACATTGTGAGGCCGGCATTCAGGGGAGGTTACAGAGAGTTTTACCACAGTTATCTGTCTGGACAGCTGCTTGCTCTGTTACACATGGCGCCAGGAAATGCTGTAGTCTTAAACTGAGTCTCCATACAGATGTGACCTCACATCTTGCAGCTCCTAATGGAGCAAGGCCACCAGGGAAGCGCCCAGGAGGAAGGAAGGAGACAGGAGACAAAGAGAATGTGGCCAAACAGTCCACATGTGTTAAATATTAATCCTTTGGGTTCTCTACATGCTGCAGAGCATTTTTCAGGTCTGAGTTATCAGCCCATCTCTGAAAAGTTACCAAGTCAAGAAATCACAAATGGTAGACAGTAGACAAAGCATTAATACGTTCTTCTTTTTCTACAAATGGAATTGGTTAGTAGATGATCACAGTTCCATGCAGTACGATTCTCTCCCAACAATTGCCCCCAACCGCACAGTACAAAGATTCAGCCTGGCCTTCTCATTTAGGAACCTCTGCACTTTAACAACCAAAGCTATAATGGGAAGAATCTGTTCTTTCCCCCAGGATGAGTGACAGGAGGAGCTAGGAGATGTGTTCAGCCCTGTGAGTTCCCTTTGCCAAAGCATTTAACTGAGTTCTCCCCAAGAACTCCCTATTTCTTAGGAAAACAAGTTGATAAGGATTTCTTTGTGGCTGCCCAGTCAGGGCGTTCACTCGTACTTCCAGCGTAGTATTTATACATCCAGCAAACACAGCCCAGTGCACTTGGTATTCTGACAATGCACAACATGATGATGGGCTTTGGAATGAGCTGGCTGCAGAGGATTAGAATTGGTGCACTGAGGCAGGGCAAGGCCCAGAGATGAAAATGAGGAGGCTGTAGCTATACACATGCTTCAGAACGAGGAGAAAGGGCAGAGAGAGTCACACACAGGAATAGCCAAGTCAGGAAGGAAGCCAGAATTCACACTACCACGTGGCAATGGTTAATGAGGGTCTGGTGGCTTTCTGTCACCACGGAATCTGTCCCACACATGCCTCCTCTCAGCCACTGAGCCAAACTGGATGCAGGAACCCTTTGGATGGCAGAAACAGAAGTTACTGGTGCATTTTTAGAGAGACTTACACATTTCCATGTTTTCTTCCCTTTACAGACTCTGAGGGAAAATTTGAGGACCACGAATAGCTCCAGCCAGATCAAATATGAAGGAATTGAAATTGTAAGAAGTAAAGACCCCCAAGTGTCTGCGTTTAGGGAGGAGCAACTGAAACAGCAATTAACAGCCCCAAAGTCCCAATGTCAGCACTGTACTGCAGCATCTAATCCCATTTTTGTTGATTATTGCATGTCCCCCCAAACAAGTGGATGCTCGTCGCTGTTTTAAATATCTTAACATAGTGCTGTCAATCATTGTGTCTTTGCCTGGACATCACTTGTTCCCTTCCACCTGACCATCCTGGCACTCACTCTATAGACCAAGCTGGCCTCAAACTCACAGAGATCCACCTGCCTCTGCCTCCCAAGTGCTGGGATAAAAGGCGTGCACCATTATGCCTGGCTTCTACCTGCCGTTCTTAAGATAAGACACAAAGGCCACGTTTGCTCTCATTCTTAACACTGCACCTCATCTGATTGGGCCAGAACTAAAAAGAACAGATTCATCCATTTATTCTCCTCTCCTGTCCTCTCCCTTTCTTCCTTCCCCCTGCCCCCTCCACAAATAGATATCTCCATCCCTCTCCACATACAAACATTTAGCCAACACAAAAAGATGAGTAGTTGGCATCTGGGTCTAGTCAAGAGTGGTGAAGTGAAAAGACTAAAAACTCCATGAGATCTTCTGAGCTAGTCAGGTCACCCACCTTCCCAAAACCCCAGATGCCGGCTGTTTTTCTTCAGAAATATTTGGTATTTCCAAGTTGTTGCAAAGTATCTCTGCAACAAATTACATAGTTTGGTTAGTATTGACTAACTAAGCTTCTGTTACTTGACACATGATACAGTCTGAATAAATGGAATTTTGTAGAAAAAGCAGATTTTCACAGAGTCACACCATATAAGTAAAAATGGCAATCTTTTCTTAAAACGATACTGCTCAACTCAACGTTCTCATACATCTTCAACACTGTCGGACCTTGCACACATGTTGCTTAGGAACTCATGAAAGCCCAGGAGGCTGGTGGAACACTCCAGCCTTCTGTGCTTCTTGAAAAAGTAGCTTTTAAGGTACAAGTTGCTTTCTGGAATTTCAGGATGTTTCAGATGCTTCTGCCTTGCTTCCATACCAACGATAATAAATGCATAAATAAATGGATAAGTTCCAAACACGACTGGCTTGCTTGCTTCCAAAGTCAGCACCTTTTCCGGTGCTCTGTATGAATGGCCTGATTCTGCATCAAGAGCAGAGGCTTGTGATCCATCGTACCATCTCCCCACCTCTCTGCATGGGATGATCAGCTAAAAGAGGGTGACTACAAAGAACACTAATTAGACGAATGTCACACACGTGGGTGTATGTAGCATGAATCTTAAAAATTCGTATTAATAAAATCAAACCTGAGGCCATTTATTGGGGTGAACACTGGAAGATCAGAGAGACAGAACAAGCCACAGCTAACCTCACCTGGCCAACTTCTCAGCTGGTCTTGTTTCCGCAGACTGGAAGCTTCTGTGTCCTCATCCCAATGGCTCTCAGCTAAACTGTGTTCGAAAGCCTGAAGCTTAACCAGCTAAAAGCTTAACCAGCCAAATGCTGCTAGTTTCTGGTCCTCACGCCTTAGGTGTATGCATGTTGTTCCTTAACATGCAAAGCCCATCCCTGGTGAAACTGAATTATACTGAAAAATGAATCTGGGGCCAAGAAAATGTGTCTTCAGCCAAAACAAAGCTTCCTGCATCCCCTTAAATCAACTCTTTTACTAACAGCACACAGCGCAAGGTGGAAACGCTGGAAGAGTGAATATAAACCATAGACACACACCACCTTCCAATGTAGTGGCCCAGACAGTTATTGATTGCCTCCTCCCCCCACCCTGCCCCGCCCCCCCCCCCCCCCCCCATGGATTGTAAGCTCTGGCCAGTCACATAATAGCTGCTTCTCCTACTGGTGAATGCCCAAGGAGCTAGAGAGAAGCAAAGGCAGAAATTTCTCCTCTGAAGGGCACAGTCAGTCACATTCTTAGCATGAGTATAAACTATGTCCTATCTTTGGACCAGTATAGCATGTTCTGGAATAGATTCCTATAAGTGAGTAAACCAACTTAACTTTAATCACTGTATATTACGCCACATTTGCCCCAGTTGTAAGCTATAGATTATACTGGGAGGAAAGTATTAGTATTTGCTACTTATTCAAAGGTAGCGCTTCACATGCCCCTTCAGGGAGATTCAGTTTTTCAACTGATGCTTAGTTCTTATAGTAGCCTAATATATAATAGGCCGACTTGGGAAATCTCACATCTGGTTTTTGCTATTAGAAAGAGCATTAATGCAAGATTATTAAAAAATAATTTTCTCACTGTTGTTAAAGCTGAAACGGTAAGGGCACAAGAGAGGGATATTCAATACATTCAATAGAAAAGCTAGAACACGTCGATGGGAAGAGCATTATGTAGTCATTACTGAGCCCAGTGGTCAAAGTCCTTGACCTTTAGAAGGCGCTGCTAGTTACCCTCCTCAGAGTCTGCCTCCATCCTCTTAGCTAACAAAATTCTGCTTTTGCTAAAATAACCAATCAGCCCAACACCAGGCTATGAATATTGATGTGTATAATCTAGTCCTGCTTGACAGTGATTGGTCTAGGGGTAGTCATATGACCCAGTTTCAAACGATGCTATATAAGGACAAGTCTTCTGGAAGTCTGGGGGTAAGGTCTGTACTTCCCTCTCTCCTAAAAGGCTATCCTATCAAGACGCAGTGCCTACATTACTGGCAACAATTTGTGGACATGAGGAGAGACGTCACTAGACTAATAAGGTGATAATAATAAGCAAAGCAAAATGTAGGGGAAATCCTGGCCACGGTGCGTGCCAAGAGCTCAACCCAAGACCAGTTCTAAACTTTGATGATATAATAGACTCTGTGGCTTAAACTCCCGTAGGTTGGGGATTTCTGTTACTAATAGATAACTTCTGTATAAAGCTGTATACACATCTATATAACTTGGTAGAGAAATAGCTTTCAAGTGTGTGATTTAGAGGAATTTTTAAAATGTATTTAAATAATTTAAACAAATCACTTTTCCCACTCAACTAGGCTTAAAGCCTGAATTGTCTCAGTTCTTAATAATTTCCCCAATCCCAGACAGCAAATATCAACAAGATACATCAATACTATACCAGTAGTTTTTTTGTTGTTGTTTTGTTTTACATTAGCACCGATTGAACCCACCCATTAAAACGGATTTCCAGCTAGGCATGGTGGCACACACCTGTAATCCCAGTGCTCAGGAGGTGGAGGCAAGAAAATCAGGAATTCAGGGCCAAAGCTCAGCTGCACAGCAAGTTCAAGGCCAGCCTGGCTACCTGAGACCTTGTCTCAATCAAACAGGAAACAGACCAACAAAGACTACTGAGTTTATGATAACCAATGGTTTCAGGTGGAGCCCGAGAATCTGCATTTTCACATATTTCCAGGTGCTGCTATTGCTTTGAGGACCACACTTCGATAACCACTGTCCTAGGCTGGCTGGGCAGTCAACTAAACAAGCCATTTCTTGAACTCATTTCATGCACACCCGTACCCCAGACTCTCTTGTCTGGATTTCATATTCTGACTACAAGATTCTTATCTAATCTGGTAAATCATTTCAGGATTTCTTAATGCCATCACCATCCAACCAGTCTTCACTGCCCAATGGTGCCTCAGCTTCTTCCTGCTCCTTGCATAGCATCTTCCTTTTCCGGGGTCCCACAAATCTGTGTTATTGGGGTCTCTTTAGGTTTAACAGTCTTCTGGCTTAGTAACACATTTTTTGTTTAATGGAGATGAGACTCGTGAGCCTCCACAAGACCAAGTGAAGAAAGGTCAGATATAACCACCAACTTGCTCATTTTCTGGCCTTACAGTGAACATCTTTAACTCGGAGATGGTCCTGGCCCGAAGCTGCACGCTTTCTGGGGCTACAGAGGACACAGAAAGGTTACCCAAGCTTGCAAGCTGAGCTGTTGGCAGCAAACTTGGAAGCTCCCAATGTGAGCATCTGCTCTGCCCCTTCTCATTAACTTTTTTTCTGGGCAGAAATGAGGAGCCCAGAGAGATATCTAATCACAAGTCTCTCGTACAGAGATGCATGGTCTTTACCAAAGGTGCCACAAGCCAGGGTTTTGAGGAATGCACTCAGACTCCTCTCTTCCTGTACGTATGCTGCCTATGTCTGGAAAAGAGGCCGTAAATTCTAACATATCCTGCTCAAGAACAATGTACATTAGTCACTCTCAAACAATGCTACCAAATCAACTTTCATACACACTCAAGAGTTTGCAAAATCTTAACAATGAGTTCTCAGTATTTGCTGTGCAGCCTAGATACTCTCTGTTGCTGTGATAAGACACTATGACCAAAGCCACTTACAGAAGAAAGCATTTCTTTGGCACTTGACAGTTCAGAGTGCGAGTCTATGTTGATAATAATGGAGAGCGTGGCAATAGGCAAGCAGGCAGGCATAGCACTAGAACAGTATCTGAGGCATACATCTTGATTCCACAAGCATGAGGCAGAGAGACAGAGCTAACGAGGAATAGTGTGAGCTATTCCAAGTACACACCAGTGACACATCTCCTCCAACAAGGCCACTCCTCCTAATCCTTCCTAAACAGTTCCGCCAACTGGGGATCAAGTATTCAAACATATGAGACTATAGGGGCCATTCTCATTCAAACCACCACACTGTGGATTTGACGTGGTTTGTCCCTCAGAGGTTCCTTTGTTTCCTGTGTGGCATGTTAATAGCTGGTGAGAGTTTCAACCGGTAGATTCCAGGTGTGAAGTCCATTGAAATCACTGCCCTCAGGAAAGATTAAGGTAGTTATGTAGGGCTCAGAATGAATTATAAAAAGAACAAGATTTGTATCTAATGCGGCTTCCTGTCTTACCAGGTAAGCCCTCCCTCCCGCACATTCCTCCCTTCATAGTGCCATCTGCCATGATATGGTACAGCCATGAAGACCCTCACCGGACCTGTCACTGTGCTATTTAGACCTTTAGCCTCAAAACTTCACCACAGTTTGGGTGGCTGTAACTCATGTGCCTGCACACACACACACACACACACACACACACACACACACACACACACACACACAAGAGTGTAGGACCCAGGAATAAAAGCACACAGTCACAGCTACCTGATTTTGGGCAAAAATGAAAAGCATACACTGGAGAAAAGGCAGCGTCTTCAAGAAATGCTGTCAGGAAAACTGATATCCATGTGTAGAATAGCGAAACTACATCCTATGTCTTACACCCTGTACAAAAGGTCATTCAAAATGAGCCAAAGACCTTAATGTGAGACATGAACCCTGAAATTGCTAGAGGAAAACATGGAAACACTACCAGATACAAGCATGGGCAAGGACTTTCTGACCGTTCAAGGTGAAATCTAGACTTGACAAATGGTGGTGCATGGAATTCCAAATGTTCTAAACAACAAAGGAACAATCATTTAGTAAAGAAATAACCCCCAGGACAGGGGGAAGTCTCCACCATCTGAGAGAAGGTTAATATCTAGAATATATGAAGAACTCAAAAAACTAAATATCAATAAAGCTAAGCAGCCATGTCAATGAATGGACTAATAAAAAAAAACAGTTCTTTTTTTTTTTTTGGTTTTTTTTTTTTGGATTTTTGAGACAGGGTTTCTCTGGGTAGTTTTGCGCCTTTCCTGGAACTCACTTTGTAGACCAGGCTGGCCTCGAACTCACAGAGATCTATCTGCCTGCCTCTGCCTCCCGAGTGCTGGGATTAAAGGCGTGGGCCACCACCGCCCGGCGAAAAGAACAGTTCTTAAATTATGAAGTATAAATGGCCCACAAATATTTAAAAAATGTTCAACATCATTAGCCATTAGAGAAATGGAAAGAAAAACTGCATTGAGGAGTTTTCTTGGTCAGAATGGCAACCATTAAAAACAACAGAGGCTTGTGAGGATGCAGAGAAAGAGGAACCTTACAGACTGCTGCTAGAAATGTAAATTATTCCGTCCACTATGGATATCAGTGTGGAAGTCCCTGAGGGGAAAAAAACTAAATGTAGAGCTACTGTATGACTCTGCAATCTGACTCCTGGGTGTTTGCCCAAAGGACTCTGAATCAACATACCCGAGAGATCCTTG